AGCTGATAGATGAGAATCCAACGGTTGCCGTGCTTCCTCTACAAGTGCTCTCTCCTTCCTCAATCCCCCGAGCTAATCCATGCATGCCACCTCACCATTGCTCATATCCCGTCTTTAGCTAGGGCTTCATTGATAGACCCATTTTTCATGGGAATTGAAAGGGATTGAGGGGAAAATAAACTAAATAACTCGTAACAACAAACGTTACCACGCCAACCATTGCTCCTACGCCCCTGTCTAAACCTTGCTAGCTGGTCATCTTTCACCGTCAATGACAAATCTAAGATGATCTAGTAGTGCAGATCTAACATGATCCATTGTTCAGACGGAGGTAGGAGGGCTCGAGCCCCCCTCTCCGCCTCATGTTGCAATCAGGGGAGCCTGATGTTGCATTCAGCCCCGATCGCCACCGTCGCATGTCCTTCACTTCTAGGGTTGGCAAATAGGCAATGAGATCTACTCATAACCCCGGCTAAAAATTTAAGGGATGGTTTGGTTTCATTGTTATCCACCTTAATTTGCATGTATAATTTTCCAACCCAGGGCTTGTTTGGCTATATACACGGATCCACCTCAATTCACATATGTTGGGCTAGATTAAGGTAGAAATTAAACTAACTTACACTTCAATCCAACTCAACACATGTGGATGCATCCAAATAATCCTTCAATTTTTCCTAATCCATGAGAATTGGGGTGGATTGAAGTGCAGTCACACAAGTCTTAAACGAGATATGTTGTTGGGGTAACTATACTCAATATGTGATAGCTACAGAAATCTTAGTCTAGAAAAAGCTTTGTTAGAGTAAGCATTGTAAGATGGATAAGAATCTCTCAAGGACAGAATTGCTCATAGATGTGGTAGCAGCAGAAATCAAGTGTGGAGATGCTCCAAATCACTTGATTAATTCACCTTTCGGGGAAAAATAACATATTTCTGATGAATGTTATCACTATCAAATGGCATAATGAGCATCAGGGCATCACTAGAACATGAGGCTGTTGCCAGCAAATTTCTTGAGCCCCCCCCCGCCAACACACAAGCCAAAAAAGCAAAATAAAACACTGCTCCAAATTTGATTTGTTGTGAGAAAAACACTGAAAAAAAATAAAAAGTACGGATTATAAGACAAACGAACATGGCCAATATACGTAAGTGAGAATGCTCAAGCTATATTTTGAGGGGAAATACTTTGGCTAGCACATCATATGATCATACGGATTGGTGGCAACTGCTCACATTTTTTGAATAAGGGCAACTAACTTGCTATACGCTATACATGCCACCAACCATCACAAATTCCATACGTAGTAGTCGCTAAACAGCAGCCATCTAATTTGGTCTGTGATTTTAGTGAGCTGCATAAACGTCCAATTTTCAACGGAACAAATTCTCAAGAATCCCGTGAATGCGTGCCAACTTTTTTTTTCTTTTTGCAAAGAAAAGCGAGGACTCGGGAATTGGAGCTGGTACGTTCCAAGTCTACCAGGCCGCTAGGTGTTTCTCCCGAGTCCCGACTTCATGAGCCTACTGGTGAACAAACTCTGTGTCAAAGTTGGGCCTCATTCCTGTCTGTTATAGGAAAAAAATTGCAAAAATGACACTTGAAAGATTAACTCCTTGATTATGATGATACTCGAGTGGAGGACAAGTGGGTCCATCTATGTCTATGAATATGGGTCCAGTGTTAAATCTGCAAACGACCGATGTTTCGAGTCCCATGTTTGCAAGGCAATAACTCCCCCCGAACACAGCTTACAACTTTCATCGTACTGTACTCTCCAAAGAGCAACTCTTCTCAAAATCTCAAAACAAAAGGTGCTGAGTTAATCCCATTCTAAGACCGTTATAGGCCCTCGGACTCTCCTTTCCAGCGGCAGCTCCCCGAACTCTCGTTTCCAACAACTGATCTATAGCATGTTCGCTTGCTCGTATTTGACTTATAAACCATGGCTTATCACCAATGAATAGTATTTTCTCTCATACCAAAACCAGCCAACGGTACTTTCAACTATGGCTTATAAGCCAAACCAGCCTAAACGAACTTACTGACAAAACTGGCCCATATGAGGTGTCATTATTATATGATGATTCTCCGACATCCATCAAAGATCAAAGTGCGGTTTGCACATGAAGGTATGAATTTTAATAGGGAGGCTCATATGCTTCAAAATCTGCATGTACTTTTGGATCTGGAAGATATATATGCCTTGAGTCCCCTCCTATATTTGTTGATGTAAACACTTCTAAAGTGAATTAATACCCTACCTTCCTCTCAAAAAAAAGGGTATCCTCCTTCAGTGTACCGTACCATAAGGCTCATCATCTGACAAATCTAATTCTGGAGAGGAGCCTTATAAAAAAAAAGAGAGAGGGAGGAAGGCTAGGTGACCGTGGCGATGACATTTCTTCTTATCAAAGCAGGGAGCTTTGGCCAGCGCTCAGATGGTCCACGATAGCAAAAAGAATTTACACCGTTAATTTCCCAATCTGTGGTTCGCCTTGCTCGGTTGTTGCCTCTGCTTCTCGACGCTTCTCTTCCCTTCCCCACGCTTCTCCTCCGTATTCCTCCCTCTTCCTCTCCCGAGCCCGACACCCTCTCGTGGAACGGCGCCTGCGCCTCTGCCGCCTCCGTCCCCGCCTTCCCTTCCTCTCTCTCCCTCGCCCTCTCCCGACGTGCGGCGCGTCTTGCTGGGCCCCAAAGACCGCCACCTCACGCGCCATGCGCTGCCCGCGCCGATGGCGCCCCAGTTGCGGTGCGCCATCATGCTGGCGCCCGGCCCGGCAGCCAGCCACCACCCACGCCACAGCCCAAGCGGGCCTCGCCGGTGGCCGCCAGCGCGGGTGCCTCCTACACGGCTTGCTCATGCCGATTCGCGTCTCCTCCTCCTGTGCCCCACGAAACCCTAGCTACCTTTCTTCATCTCTTCGCCATGGTTCCTGAAGATGAAGGCTGCGCGTACACCAGCTCTGGTAATCTTGAAGGTGCCACCCCCATGCCGTCCCTCTGCTCCATGATGGGGACGAGCTTGACGACGACATGACCTAGCGCCGATTCCATAAGGTGCGTTACTCTGCTTCAGCCTCCCTTTTCTATTTTGGTACAATGTTCTCTGTCTCCTTTCTGGTTCCGCACAGACATAGGTACATGAACCAAGGGATGGGAGATGTGCCACACGGTCAACAGACACAGCAGAGCAGACCACATGTGCAGTGACCAGGCATGGGCTTCATGCACGTACCTACTAACTATGTTCTCTGTTTTAATTTGCGATCAATCTGCGTCATTTATGGCCTTCTTGGTTCTATGTTGCAAGTTTGCGATCATACCACATTCATTCTCTGTTATTGTCTTCACAGTAGGTATGGGACTAGATGAATTACATGAACCTGTGCCTGAGGTAAGCAGTTACTTGGTGGACCGTACAAATGATTCCTTTACACTATGGGTGCACTGATGCTTTGTATTGGTACGTGCGATACCTTTCCATGTGCTCAGAGAATGACCAGTTTACGACATTGTTGTTCAGGTGTCTTCGCCTATTTTTTTTTACTTTTAGCTTGTATTGCTGTAGAACCACCCTTGTGTGTTGCTTTTCTAGACTCTATTCTGAATTTTAGGCAATCTGTTTATTCATGTCTTTTTTATTTGCAACCTTTTAGCAGGAGCGTATCCTAATTGCACTAATTGCATTTTTTTTCAGAGCAGCGTATTCTGATTGACCGAGGCAACGTAGTTACTCCTTAATCTTTGATTACAGTTCGATGCTCCCCAATATGCATATGAACATAACTTTTGTAGTGTAACAAGGTATTAGCCAGATAAATTACAATGCACGTTTCTCGGTAGCATGGTTGTCCTTTACACAAGCCTCCTAAATCCTAGTTACCTGCTAAAAAAGAGTTACGGTATGAAGTTAGCAACTAAAGCAATGGCTGCTCAATACAGTTAAATGCGCGTTGCCCTTCTTTGTGCCCTCTCTGTTAAGAGCAGAATTTTCGATTGAGCCTGCCTTGCTTTTGTAGGCTTCTTCGATGTTCCTTTCCTCTCTCTTTATTGGCTCCTGTGTGGTTAACAGATGCATGTTTTTTTCAAGTTCCAGCAGTATAAATGTAGTCTGAACCTCTGATCATGGTCTTTCAGTTTACGTTACTGTACTCATCATGGTGGCATTCATGTGTCGGTCCCTGCATTCGTACCCTTCTGTTAATAGCTTGCATATGGACCGCCTGTTAACTGCATGTTCACTGCTTCCAGGAATGCAACACCCATATTTTCCCTGCTTTGATACTCCAGCAGTCAACAGAGCAAAAGGCTGGATGAAGTATATTAAGAGTTATTTCTCAATAAGAATTATTCAAAGTATATTTATTAATGGTAATTTCTCAATAGTTATTAATTAATGATTAGGCCATGACCTCCTTTAGTTTATTATTATTCCTCGCAGGTTCATATGATGATGATGTGAAGTCCTGTCCGATCCCCGATCCACATGCGCTATCAACAAAACGGTGTCGTCTCTTGTCAGATTGGTAACCTCTTACCTCTATATGTACTTTTAGTTGGTTTGTTTCTAAATATTGATATGTCTTGTGGACTACAGCGAGCTACTGTTTTGATAAATCTTAAGGTTACATCATCATATATGGTTACATGTTGATGTACTGTGCGCCATCCCTTATACTATACTAAAGGATTAGATCAAATGAATGAGTATGGTTGCTATGGTTGGTCCAGGGTGCATGATAACAGTGAACAAGATAACGAAGGCGACGGGACGTATCACAAATTGAGTCAATTGTCAAACGTGCTTTCTCTCATTTCTTCCCCTGTTTCCTATTCATCATCTACAAAAGCCTCTTTACACGCCACGCCATTGATAATCACCACACAAAAGCTGCACATGATCCCTTCTCTAATCTCTACTTCTAACCCTATGACACACGCATATACTACTAACACCTACTGGAGCCCGTCGATGCTGAGATTGACGAAGGGTCAGCTGAGGTGAGGGAACGCGAGGTCCCTGGCGAGCAGGTAGCGGAAGGCCGGGTTGTAGGGCACCCACTCCACGACCTTGCCCGACGACCTGCCGCCCTGCTGGCACCGCTGCACGGCCATCCTCATGCTCTCAGGGAGGTAGCGCTGGACCATGTCCACGAGGCCCTGCGACGAGAGCTTCACGTCCTTGGCGTACGCCTCCACGAGCTTGGGGAGCAGCAGCTTCTGCTCCTTCCACACGCCGGCCGTCGCCCGGATGAACTCCTCCTTGGCCGCCTCCAGCTGGTGGAACAGCCGCTTCGGAGTGTACACCCTCACCTGCATGCAATGCAACCAAAGCAAAGCGAAGCAAATTGAGATGATGATGATGCTGCGTTCAGAATTCAGAAAAGAGGGTCGGCTTGGCACATCCAGTAATAATGGTAGTACTAGCAGTGTGCTTTGAGGCAACAGCGCGAGATTCCAACATGATGGCAGATGAAAGATTCCTAACAACGTTCCCAATCACCCAAAAGCTGGCGGCTCATGATTCATTGGTAAACCTGTTTCGCTAATGTGACACTGACATGATAGATTGATAGGATAGGAAACGTGCAGCTTTTCATGCCAGATTTGTGCTTAAAAGGCTTGTCAAGAAATGAAACACGTATGTACTACTCGCACTGAGTCCATATTGACTTGTGAAAAAGTAAGCATTGATTTCTAAGTTCTAAGTTTGTTTAAGAAGGTATTCAGGTACAACGACACCAAGTTTGCGGAACTTGTTGCTTACCGCGGGATCAGAATGGCTGCCGGAACAAAGCGCAAAGCGTAAAAGAGGCTCTGATTGTGCAACGGCAAAGGCTCGCCACTCATGCCCCGCTTTGCTCACTTTGCTTTTGATCCTGGGGTAAAGCAGCGTCCGTAGCCACTGCATTAAAAGGACCAAAACTGAAATTAGCATGCCTCTGTGTGAAGGCATATAATCAGTACAGTAGGAACATCGTGCTTTTAGCCGGGTTTGGACCTAATCATGCATTCTAGCTATACCTGTCCGGGGCAATGTGTGTTACATCCAAGAACAATGCTCTGGATAACAGCGGCGTTGATGTTGCGTCCAGCTATTTTGCAGGCAGCCTGTGGTTGAAACATGTGTCAGCCAAAGGAGAGAGAAATTTGCTTTGGGTTGCAGGACCCTCCCATTGATTCTTCAGAGGAAGCATTTTCACTTTACCTTAACAAGTAGGGATGTTTTCTTTAGATTGTTCTGTGGGACGCCATTCTTCAGATAAGCCTGTGAAAGTATTACAATGAGACCCCATCAAGAACAAAGCACGTAAAGTGCTAACAAATTTTAGAGAACTGCATCAATAGAGTATTACATGCATCAGCAAAGCATTGTGTATGTTGACCCAGAATGCTATCTTTTCTTCATATGTCATTCTCCTCAGATCAACGGCTTCCAACCGGTACAAAATCAACCTGAAATATCAAAATCAGTTGAGAACGGTGTATAAAATTTTAACTAACAAATTGAACAATTCCATCGACCAAAGAGCAGAAATATAACTCACTTGTAAGTCTGGAGCAGATCCTCAGCTTCTTTCAGCCTCCGACTGTCACGGCTAATCATAGGAACTTCAACCATTGTGTTGTAAGGTCCACTGAACTCCTTCAAACCCTCGACATGGAATGGGTTTATCAAACGGGAGTCCAGAGTCGTTTCTCTCTTGTAATGGGGACTCCACATGTCCCCAACATACTGTGGAGAGATTGCACTAGTTGAGGAGAACGACGACGATCGCGAAGACGATGAGCCATGGTGAACCAAGGGAGGATCTGCAAGTCTGCAGTATATCCCCGCCATGCATCTCACCATCTCCTCTGAAAGGTTGTTGGGAGTTTCAGGGATGTGGTCAGCTACATTAGTTCCTAGATACTCTGCTAAGCTTATCATTCCTGATGCACCAGTCTCTCCTTCCTGCTCAAAACATAACAAGGAACTTTAAATCCTATACATGCATGTGGAGATGATAAACTAGTTTTAAAATATGACAACTAACAATGCCATAATGTTATTTTTTTCATCATGGAGCAAATCATTACCTCTACGAATGAGAATGGCTGTGAGTGGCATGAGCGAAGAGCCCTTGCAAGACTATCATCCTCTGAAGGCAATATCCTGGACGAACAAACTCCACGGTATGACAATGCAGACTGGCAGCGGAGGACATCTGAATCAACCGCTCTATCAGAGCGAGCGGATGTGCAGCAATCTGCCAATGGATCATTCAATTTCTTATGCACCGGCGGGTAACTGGACCGGAGCGCTGCATCCCCTCTACTCTTGCAAGACTTCATTGCCATGGGCGTTTCCCGGAGCTGCCCGCAACGTGAGCTCATTGACAATTTTGGAGCTTCCCGGCAATCAGGGGGAGAAAATGCAGATGCTTGCTGCTCAAATGCTTTCCGGTACAGTGTCAGGAGATACTGCTCCATATTCTTGACCTCGAGCTCCAATGTGGCAATCTCCCTTATCAATTCATTAGCTGCCTGAAAAAAAAATCAAAGTGGTTAACCTGATTAGTGATGAAAAGTTGGAACAAGAGCAGACTAACAATAGTTCTTGGGCGAAAAATATTTACCTTTGGCATTGGATTCTCTGGTGACAAGTTGACTTGAGCAGCGTTAGGCCCTAAAGCTTTTTCCAGTGCACCACGAACAACCTGTTGATCCTTGAGGTGCTTCTCAAGCTGCAGAATCTGCATCAGGTGATTTCATGAGTCCACAGTATGGAAAATTCAATAGAAAAACGAGAAGCAGCAGCAGGTTAGAAAAAAAGATTTTTGTCAGATTAGTTGGTGAACAAATATGCTGTGGCATTTAGTGAAGTACAAGTGCCATCAAAATCGTTTTGATTAAAAAATTCTCTTGCTTATCCTCTTCTATGATTGAGCAGTGCTGCTGCTTTTCGTCCAAAATAGATTGTTTTGTAGCTGTTGGCAGTGCAGCCAAAAAGGGCCACAACAATTGTTTCATTTCAGAAGCCCACACAAATGGAAATGCAAGTTCTTATCTGCTGTAAAAACTATCTGAAAGAAATCAGACTACACCTACCTCCTTTCTCAAGGTGCTTTGTGCTCCCCTCCCAGGTTGAGCTTCCTTACTGATATCACTTTTCACCTCAGCTTTTACAACTTGCTGGGGAGAAAAGATTAAACACAAATTACTCAAAACTACAGGAACTATGTAGTGAGAAGTGAGAACCTGCATTTATTGAACAGCACTGTCCACACCAGGACCAGGAGGGGGGTATTTACCGGCATAGGTAGAACAATTGTTTTGTCTGAAGAACGCAAAGTATCTGTAGCATATATATCCTCAAAATAGCTGCCATTGAAAAAGTTTAATCACATTTTGAGCATTGTTCCATGCCATCTAAACCAAAAAAAAAAAAACTATGCAGAAGCCTGCAGACACCAACCCCTTGGATCGCTTGTACCGTTCTGAAGAACTGAAAGATTTCATCGTCTTGGCAAAAGCTGTGTGCCCCTTCTCCAGAGCCTCCACCTCCATCTGACAGAGCTTAAGAGCCAATCAAGAACTGAAAAAAAAAATGCAAAGCAGTCTAAGCAGCAATCCAGAAAGACACCAGACAAACAGCAACGGAGACGAAGACGAAGAACAGAAACAGGAGCAGAACGGAGTTTACAGAGATCAGTTGCTGTTGCCTAGTGGCCAGCGCTCGGAACTCAGTAGCAGGGAGGAAGAAGCCGAGCACGAGTGAGGAGCTCCGGACGATCCAAGACCAAGGAAATGGCGTGTTCTGAAGTCACGCTAAGCTCCAAGGAACCCAGCACTGTCCACACCAACGAGTGCCATACATCTACCGGCACCGCACCACCACCCTTCACTCTTCCGGTCAAGAGCTAATGAGCCATTTGGAGAGGAAAACGGAAAGCAAAGCCCTGTCTCTCTCTCTCTCTCTCTCTCTCTCTCTCCTCTCTCCGATCCAACTGCTCTGCATCTACCCCCCACTGCGTGTGTATGTGTATATATACAGCACCAGCAGCACCAATGACACGCTAGTGGCGAGCCTGCAAAAAGGTCGTTGACTGTGACATCTCCTCGTGGAAACGCCACACACAACTTGCTGTGACGGAGGAATAGGTTAACCACTGCACCTTTTTCGCATGCCCAGGTCTGAAAACCTTGCTCCTCCTGGTTTTCTATGTTTTTGCAGGCAGAGAAACTAGGGTAGCTGGGTAGGGAAAGGGAAACCTTTTCAACCAACCTGGTAATTTGTGCCCTAATCAGGCTTTTCTACCCCCAACCCTGATACAGTAACAGTTTTGGGGCCATGAGACATTGAGACATCAGACATGTGGTTGGAGTGAGATTTTGGGAGTATATTAGTACAAGCCTAATGCCTCCAACTCCTAATAGAGCCAAACCTTGTGTTACCAAACTGACAAAACATCAAAAAGCTTATTAAAACTAGCACGTTCCCTGACATACCAAACTTGTGCAAGAGATTTTCAGCATACAAGGAGCAGTTGGTGAGTGAGTGGTGATTGATCTGCACACCAAACGATGACAAACAGGCCAAAAGGATTAGGATATTTATATGTAATGTATCTCTATTCCGTTGTGAGATTAGGCCGTTCGCTTCGCTGAAAAAATAAGTTAAACTACTGTTCCGACTGATTTTGTTGTGAGAGAAAAATACTGTTTCGGCTAAAAAAACAAGCTGAAAAAGGCGGATTATAGAAGCAAACAAGCCTATTGTGTGAGGTTGCTTAATCTTTAGCCTGTTCATTTCATTGTAAATGATCGTGGATTATTTACTGCTTGTTGGTTTGGTGTAAGAAAAAAATACTACTCTAACTTATAACAGGCTTCCGGTGGTTGATGCTGGTGGCAGTGGACAGTGTACTTTGTAGTTGTTAATGGTGCTGGCAGGTTTCTAGATCTACCTGACACGAGCGCCCCAAACCTCTGTACTGCACTGTCTCCCTCTCACCCACGCAGATAAGTTTGTTTTATGAAGATAAGCAGAATGTCCTTTGCTGTTTTGATAATTAATGCCCTATTTATTTAGCTGATAAAATATTACGAGAGAAAAATAATATTCATTAACTGAAAAAATACGATTATTAATAGTTTGGTTTCCTAAGCGTACAAGACACTTCTCGAAAGATGGAGAGTGCTGAGTAGTACAAACTGGAAATTGCAGGATGATCAGTTGTCTCAACTGTGGATGTGCATGAGACAACCTGAGCATTTAATATTTCAGTAAAGAAAGTGCAGTTTCCTAATGCAGGAATTCAGTGGAACGCCTGCGTTCTAAACAACGGTAGAAAAGTACTGTACATAGTAGTATGTCAGTTAGAGATGTGTTTGGTGAAAGATATTTGAGGCGCCCACTATGGAAGATAATGAGCGTCTCATGAAACTTGGTGAGAGACGAGGTGCTTGATTGCATGTTTGTCTGAATTTTGGAGGAATCTGGATGGTTTAAAAGAATACTGGAGAAATTTATGAGAGAAAACACTATTCCGAATAAAAAAATAAACGGATCAAGCCGGATTTAAGGGCACACATTTAGCCCTGCTAGATAGGAAAACCAGAGCAAACATGCCATTTGGCTCCTAAAGTGAGTAAGTGACCCCTCCCTTGCCACAGTACCACTTCTATCTACTACCAAATGGATCACTAACACGAAACACAGAAAAATGTTACTAGTAGATCGCTGGACCCTCCCCAAAGACAAACAGTCGTTAAAGACAAGGCTCCGTTTGTGTGCGTTTAGGGCGTCCCCAACAAGGGGCGACGTCGCTAGCTCGGTCCGACGTGGAGGCAAGAGAAATCGCGAAAACCTTCTCGCTAGAGACTCGTTCGTCGCTAGTCTCGCTCACAAAACGAGACGGCGTGGTTTCTAAATTGCCGGCTACTGACTATTATTACCACTGAGGACGCCCTTAGGCTTTGTTTAGGGTCGCACACAAGCAGCGAAGCAGGGGCCCAAAAGAATGGAAGAAAAGATGGGGCTCGGCCTCAAAAGCGTCGAAAGGGGAGGGTAAAGGCGGGCGGGCCGGCCGGCCGTGCATGGCTGGCTGCCCCTGTCCCGTTTCCCTCGTCCGCGCCCGGGCGTCCTCGCCCTCACCCGCCTCGCCACCACCCATCATCAAAAGCAGGGCAGGCGAGGCGACGGGCGGCGGCGCGAGCACTTGTCCGGTGCTGCGGGGAGGCGCGCGCTTGTCACGGGGAATTTCTCCTTCTCCGTGGCGCCGAGCCGTTGTTGCACGAGGCGTGCGGCTGGGTTCGGTTCGGTGCTGCGGCGGCCGCATTGGGGACTTGGGGAGGCGACGAGGCGTGGCCAGGGTAGGTCAGGCAGGTGTGCTGCGTAGCCGTGCAGGGAAAAAAGTAGCCAGTGGAAAGGGCAAAAGGCTGGGGCTTTCTGGTGACCGCGTGTCTGCGCACGGCCGTGCACTGTCGGCGTATGCAACGCAACAATGTGCTCCGGCGCAAAATACTGAGACAATGCGCTAAAGAAAATACTGAGACCAGGAGGTGTTCATCATGTAACCTCCGAATGAAAAATAACAGTGTTGTCTCAGTATTTTCAAATATCAAGGGTGAGTTGAAAGACTCTTGCTTTTGGTTTCTGGTTGAAACAATCAGGTGATTTAGGATTTGACTTCTGAGAAGCAAAATGTGTATTTTTGTTAAGAGACAAAAACAGCATGAGCGATGTTAATCCACCTAGATGCCCTTTTTAGGCAAACAGGAGGGGATCCCCTACTGTATTTATTGAATTTTAAAGGAGAGGTATAAAGCTAGTCTGAGCAAAAGTTAAGAAACAAATAAGGTAATCAAGAAAATAAGAAAAATTACAGCAAGGCTCTCGGTCATGAATCAATCAAGGGGGCGTAACCGAATTATAAATTCCACGAAGAAGGGGAGTTGCAATTGATTCTTAAAGTCCTCAAATGCTTAGGCCTTGTTTATTTTCTTGTGCTAAAGTTTTAGCCAACACTTTTAGTCCATCTTTTGACAAAATGGATTTAAACACCATGGGCAAAAAAGAGCAAATCTTGGGCTACTAAACTTTTGCCATTTGCTACCAAGAGGCCCAAAATTGAACAAAAACGCCTGAGGGCACGAGCTGGACGCCCACTACCCCCGCACCCGCCCACCCCGCTCACTCGGTATACTTATCCATTCCCCCGCTTCCACCCCCAGCCGCTTTCGCTCTCGCACGCCGCTCTCGCCTGCCGCCGCCACTCTCACTCTTGCCCTCCGCCGTCGCCCAGATCCAGCTCCTTCTCCCCGGCCCCCAGATCCAGCTCCTCCTCCCTGTTGCGTAGCTGTAGCTTGTCCTCCCCGCCGCTAGATCCAGATCCGCGTGTCGCAGATGGACGACTACAACGGCGACCGCACCAGGGACTTCCTGTCGCAGCCTGATCTGTATTCCCCCGTCGGCGGCTATGACATCTTCTCCGACGCGGCATATCCCTTTCCGGGCTCAAGCAGCGTCAATGCTCCCCGGATGGGCATGGCGGCACTCGACCTCAACTCCCATGGCGAAGGGTGGCCCGGAATGGCGGGCTATGAGGGCCTCCTTCGCTCCGGCCTGCAAGATGGAGGCATCGGTGGCAGCATGGGCTTCCCTCTCGTTCGCGTCCGCAACGGCAGTCGTACCCTCAGCTTGCGCGCGGCTCGCAGTGGCGGTGGAGGAGGTGCCACGGCCGCTCACGCCATGTCGTCATCCTCCAGTGGTGGCCGTGGCCCTTCCTTGCCTCCTGTGACCGCCGGCGTGCGCGGCTCGCGTGGATCTACATCCGGTGTGCCTGCCGGATACAGGAGACGCGGTGGACGTCAACGACCCGCGACGACAACAGTTGCGGAAGGCAACTTCGACATCAACCACCAGAATAATGTTGAAGACGACGAGATCCAAAAGATCTTTCCGAACGCTCAAGGTCTGGTATATTCTCATACCCAGAAAAATATGCTTGGTGTTGGATTTTGGCGTTTTCGTAATGTATGTATGCATTCTTGTTGTGCATGGATTAGGCTAGAATGGACATGGAAAATTGGTCAGAACCAAATACCGAGATACTGTGTGATTTATGGGTTGATCAAATTAATAAGAGTAGCTGCGTGAAAGGAACCATGAGCAAGACATGGATGAGGGAGGTAATAGGAAGGTATTTTGCAGCAACCAATTTGATATATGATAGGGTACAGATCGCTGATAGGATTAGGCAGCTGAAGGGACTATGAAAATTCATATAAAGATTGCACAATGACATTGGCTTAGGTCTTAGAGATGGTGGTACTACTGATGCCACTGATCAATGGTGGAAAGACAACACTAAGGTACTTGCCAAACTGCTTGTTTGATGTTTGACATCTAGTTAGCTGCACACTTGCTCACATTGATAAGTTCTGCAGGGCCACCCAGACCGGAAGAAATGCAAGTAGGGGTGGCCAGAGTACATGATCAATTGGACCAAATGTTCCATGGTGTAGCTGTTGATGGCTCAACCTCGTTTGTTGCAGCTATGTGC